ACTGGATGCCTAGGCTGGCGAGAAGCACTCAAGGCGACGCTGGAGGACAGAGCCACCATGATTGCTTGGCCTTGAGGTTTCGTCTGGTGGCAGTACTCGTGGAATGTATGAGGTCGTTGGCGTCATGGTGTCAAGACCAGTAAGGTGGCTCGGAATGTAATTGGGTTTCTTCGTTTTCGTCATTTTATCTGCCATTGCAATGATAGAGAAGAAATGCAACGAGGTCCATGGTACAGCTCACAGACTGTAAGGATTAGTGTTGGTGTTGCATGGCAAAGTAAGGTACCTTTAGGTACGTAGGTAGGCACACGTATCGATGGTCCAAGGCAGGTACCCCACCATGGCCCTGACTAATGCGGTACTCAAGCTTCAATGTCGTCTTCGCCCCGAGCTTCGGAGCTGCCAACGACGTGCCCTTGTTGCTCTCGACATTGACGCACTCTACAGCTCCGCGCTTTCAACGCCCTCTGCCCAACCTCGAGCGAACGATCGAGCTGACGAAGGACCCTGCCGTCGGCTGATTGACCATCAACATGTTCCGCCACGGCCTCCGTCGCTTTGCGACAGCCGCCGCGCCTGTCGTCGCCGATCCGAGCCCATACCTCTTGAACCTCGCCAAGGCCCAGGGCACCGTCAAGGGCCTCACCGGCGGTATGCACGATGCTTCCGATGTCACTGCCGGTTTTCTTTACCTTCACTGCTAACGACGAGAGACAGCCATCGGGAACACGCCGCTCATCCGCCTCAACAAGCTCTCCGACCAGACAGGCTGCGAGATCCTCGGCAAGGCCGAGTTCATGAACCCAGGCGGCTCCGTGAAGGATCGCGCGGCGCTCTACGTCGTCAAGGACGCCGAGGAGCGCGGCCTCCTGCGGCCCGGCGGCACCGTCGTCGAGGGCACGGCCGGCAACACGGGCATCGGCCTCGCGCACGTGTGCCGCAGCAAGGGCTACAAGCTCGTCATCTACATGCCCAACACGCAGTCGCAGGGCAAGATTGACCTGCTGCGGCTGCTCGGCGCCGAGGTCCACCCCGTGCCGGCCGTCGCCTTTGACCATGCCGAGAACTACAACCACCAGGCCCGCCGCCACGCCGAGCGCCTCGACAACGCCGTCTGGACCAACCAGTTTGACAATGTCGCCAACCGCCGCGCCCACATGGAGACGACGGGCCCCGAGATCTGGGCCCAGACGGCCGGCACCGTCGACGCCTTCACCTGCGCCACCGGCACCGCCGGCACCCTCGCCGGCGTCACGCGCTACCTCAAGGACGTCAGCGGCGGCCGCGTCCGCAGCTACCTCGCCGACCCGCCCGGCAGCGTGCTGCACAGCTACATCCAGTCGGGCGGCGAGCTCGTCGAGCGCAGCGGCTCGAGCATCACCGAGGGCATCGGCCAGGGCCGCGTCACCGACAACCTGCGACCCGACATTGCCCTGCTCGACGGCTCGCTGCACATCTCCGACGAGAAGAGCATCGAGATGGTCTACCGCTGCCTCGACGAGGAGGGCCTCTACCTCGGCGCGAGCTCGAGCCTCAACGTCGTCGCCGCCAAGGAGGTCGCCGAGAAGCTCGGCCGCGGCCCACACCGTCGTCACCATGCTCTGCGACGGCGCCTACCGCTACGCCGACAGGCTCTTCTCGCGCAAGTGGCTCGAGGCCAAGAACCTCGCCGGCGCGATACCCAAGCACCTGGAAAAGTACATTGTCTTGCCGTAAGGGAAGAACCAGAGAGCGGGGCAGGAATCGGTGGATGCATGCAAAGGGGGATAATATGTTGGTCGTAGTTTTGACATGTTCGTACACTGACTGGCCTGGCTTCCTCTGATCTATAATTGTACATTTTGACCCATTTACACAGCCGTTGTCTCTCGCTCTTTCTCTAGCTCCTCCTGTTGACGCATGACAATGGTACACTCGTCCTCCGACTCCTTTTACGCTTCCGTTTTAGCATCCTCCGCTGGCGCCGCCTCCTCAACAGGGCTGGCCTTGACATCGAGCTTGACGCCACCCTGCGCGTCAAACTGGTTCGTGTAGACGCGGTGCGGCAGCGAACCCTCCTTGAGGCCGTCCTTCAGCTCGGCAATCTTGCTGGCGAGCTCGGGCTCCAGCGCCGCGGCAATGGCGTTGAGCTTGTCGGCCAGCGCCGGCTCGACGACCTGCGCCGCCAGCCTGAGGCCGTGCAGCGCGTTGGCCGCGGGGGCGATGTAGAGCGGCGCGGCGCTGAGATACCTGACGTCGCCCCTGTCGCCGCTGACGCTGCCCCTGCCGCCAAAGGCCTCGGCCGGGTAGGCCTCGAGCAGGCCCTTGCCGGCAGGCCAGGCGGCGACGACCTGCTTGGCCCAGTAGGCGACGCGGCCGTCGACGTCGCGGCCGGCGTTGTGGCCGACGGCGAGGGCGGCGGCGAGGTGCAGCGGCGCCGTCAGCGACAGGGGGTCGCGCTCGACGGGCCACGACAGCCAGTCGGGCCTGCGCTTCTCGAGGCGGTGGGCGGGGTCGGCGGCCATCTCGAGGACCATGGTCGACCAGCGCAGGGCCTGCTCGAGCTCCTTCTTCTCCCAGGCGGCGTCGAGGGCCTTGAGCTGGACAAAGAGCAGGACCTCCTGGACCTTCTGGGGCAGGTCGAAGCGCAGGCCGGTGCGCTTCGTCTGGCGGGCCGCGTCGATGACGGCGAAGACGCGGCCCTTGGCGCCGGTCTGGCGGATCATCTTGACGAACATGGCCGTGTTGATGACGCGCTTGGCCTCGCGCAGGCCGGACAGGAGGCGCACAAAGTTGGACCAGTCGTGGGTCGTCTCCATGTTGCGCAGGGCCTCGTGGAAGACGGCGCGCGTCGAGGGGATCTCCTTCCACGGCAGGTGGCTGAAGCGGTGGGTGAGGCCGTCAATCTCAATGTCGACGGGGTTCATGCGGAGGGAGTTGCGGTGCTTCTCGTTGAAGACACGCTCGCGCTGGTGTGGCGGCAGGTAGTAGGGCAGGATGATCTTGTTCTGGATTTCCGTGAGGATGGGCGCGAGGTTGTCGCTGACGTCGGGGTCGAAGGTGATGTATCGGGTATCTGGTGAGGGTCAGAACAGTCTAGGGGCACATCTGACCGGCCATGTCAGGAAAATCCATCGTGTCGACGTACCATGGCGGGCGGGTGTCTGGGTGAAGCATCGTTGCTGCATGGGCGAGACCGTGGGCAGCCGTAATGGCGCCTGTGCCCTGAAGGCATTCCTCAACAGCACCCTGTCCATCGTGTGTATGTGTGTGCTTGTGTGTGTTTGTGTGGGTGGTTGGACGTCGACTTCCTGGGCTCGTCGATCCGACACCGGGAGCAGACTCAATGGGCGATCGAGGTCTGTTGTCGTCAGGCGACTCGGGACAATCGTTGTGAGGTGAAGAGGAGGATCCCAAAAATCGACAAGAGCTTACAGGGGGGGTTAGGGGGGGTCCAACGGGGGTCCAACGGGGGTCCAGCAGCCGTCCAGCCCCCGTGGCTCCACTAGTGAACCCCGACAGACCTGCCAATCGCTGGCAGCTCCGCGGCTTCGGCGAAACGCGTCTACCGAGCCAATCACACACGGCAATCCGACCGTCGTCCCTGAGAAAGTCGACTTTTCGATTCCTGACCTTCGACAGCTCCTCCATCACGACGACGAACACGACGACAAGGACCAGACCTCCGCCGTCACCACCACCATGAACGTTCACGCCCTCAGGCGGCCTCTCGGCTGCCTCAAGGCGGCCCTCCGTCAGACACGCCAACAAAAGGCCCTGCCCCTCGCCCGCTCCCTCGCCACAGCCGTCGAAACCACACCATCAGCAGCAGCAGCCTCATCACGACCACCACCGCCGCCGCCGCCGCCTGCCGGCAAGAAACCCATCATCAACACCAAGCCCCCCGGCGTCACGCACCACCGCCACTTCGCCCTCGCGCCGCCGGTCCCCTCGATCCGCAAAACCCACCCAGACCCCCTCCCCGCCCTGACAGCCGCGCAGCTCACCAAGCTCGACCCGACCGGCGCCCGCACGCGCCTCTTCGACCGCACGCGCCCCGACGCCGCCAAGGCCGGCGACGTCCTCCTCGTGACGACCCGCACCGGTGAGCCCTTTGCCGGCGTCTGCCTGTCCATCCGCCGCCGCGGCGTCGACACGGCCATCCTGCTGCGCGGCCAGCTCATGCGCGTCGGCGTCGAGATGTGGCACAAGATCTACGCCCCGACCGTCATTGGCATCGACATAATCTGGCGCCGCCCCAAGCGCGCCCGCCGCGCGCGCCTCACCTACATGCGCCAGCCCAAGCACGACATGGGCAGCGTCGCCCACCTCGTCCAGGCCTGGAAGAAGGAGCGCTACGCCATGCGTGGCAAGGGCCGGGGCGCCAGCGCCGCCAAGACGGGCGGCCAGGTCGGCACGAGGTTCTGAGTGTGTTCGCGAAGGCATAGGTGCTTGCCTTGGGGCGTACGTGTGTGCCTGAGGGCCTGCTGTGGAACATGGGAGTGTATGATATCGCTGCGTGTGAGGATAGACTGTATTATCGAATGGAAGCAGCCTTGTGGCCAGTACACCATGTCTGTGATGTGACATGATGTGAGCGCTCTCGGACGCGACAGTATCAAGATCGCAACGTGAGAATGACATGGCGAATCAAGTTTCACAGACATCATACAACAGACAAGCCTAATCAGCTTTGCAGCCATTCTCTCTGTACAAGGTGCAGCAGTCTCCATCCTAGTCCCAACCGTCTACGGCCGTGACGCCAGTCTACATAAACCCAGAACCCCCATGCCCAAAAGACTGCAAGAGTGAAAGAATAAAGGTATGTAGGATTACGGAAACGCTGAACCGTCCCAATGCAAACACCAAAAAAAAAAAAAAAAAGGATCAAAACACCCCTGTCACCACGCCCATGACACCCTGCCATGATGGCTGGTTGCCTACCGAGACGAGGCTGGAAACCTCCAGCCCATGAAACTGCCCGTCAGCCACGACAGCTGAGGGGGATGCACCGAGACCTTCTAGCCCATTGGTGTCGTGAAGACGCGGCGAGCGCGCGCCGCGGGCGCAATCTCTTCGTCCTCGTCCGTGTCAGCGTCTTCCACAGCCACCGTGTGCCGTCGGCGCAAGTCTGGCCCTTCCGTGCCGTTGGCGCCCGAGGCCGAGACCCCAGCATCAAAGGACACGCGGCGGGCGAGGTTCCGATCCTCGCGCGGCACGGCGGGCCCCGGATGCAGAAACGACGAAATAATGCCCCTATCTCTGCTTCGTCCTCTCTGCAGGTCGGCGCCTGTCCGGTTTGTCACGGCCGTCATCTGCCGAGTGAGACCGTTTTGCGTCTCCAACGCCTCGTCGGCAAACCGCGCTTCGCTGGGAAGGAGGACAGCGCGGTCGAGGCCGTAGGGAAGGCCGCGATGGCGACCACGAATCTGCATGGCAATGATGACGAGCTTTCCGCCGGTCGTGAACTGCGACGAGAGGGACGCGTTGACGTTTGGATACCCCAGGCTCAGGCCGACCGTGCCGTAGGCACTGATCAGCTCAAACAGGATGCTGTACACGTTGAACTCGTTCTTCTTGATCTTCGAGCCCTCCGTGATGGATAAGATAAACAGCCCCAAAAAGACATACCACAGATCGAAGGACAGCTGCCGTCGCAAATGTGTTCCGACGTACGACATGGCGCTGGCGTCATTGATCGTCTCGTCGTCCTCGGCGCTGTTGTAGACGCCAAGCGACTTTTCCTCGTACACGTTGGTCCTGCGGATCGAGATGGCGATGGGGAAGACGGAGATGTACATCATCATCATGTAAGAGACCTGCACGGCCGGATGAAGGAGCGACAGGTTGACAGAAGAGAAGCCTGCCGTTCTCGTGCATGCCGCCTGGAACAGGCCATTGACGATTCGGAGATGGACAGGCATGTCGCTGACGACGTTATCGTTGAGCTACCAAATGTCAGTCCAAAGGGACCCAATCAAAACCACGCGAGCCGGCACCTACATCAAGCAAGACAAAGAACAACAGGTCGATGGCGTTCAGTCCGATGAGGATCCAGAACAACCACCAGGTAGCGCTGGCCGGGAACAGCAAGGTGAAGCAACGGCGCGGGTGGTCCAGGAGGAACCGCAGCTCCTCCCACAGACCTGAACCTCGGGGAACGAGGCGAGCCATGACCCAGATGATGGATCGAAGCATGACGGGGAAGCCAGTGTTGCCAATGATGATGAGGAAAACCATAATCATCAGAACGTATTGTGACTGGTTAAACGACACCATGCTGTCAGGTGTCAGGGTAAGACCAAGATCGAGGAAGGCCGAATTGGCAGTGAAGAAGCCCCACCAAGTTCTCGACATGCCGGCGGCGTCGACGACTTGGGCATACTCATTGTTCGACGGGCTTTTGATCCACGGCAGCAGGCAGACCAAGGCGAAGATGGACCAGCCCCAGAAGTAGCAGACGAGGAGAAGCGCCAGCGTCCTCAGAGATCGATACTCGATGCCTCCGAGTTCCTCGCGCTGTTCAAGCGACAGTCCGGGAAACTGTGAGTTGCGGCCCAGCGTAGGCGTCCAGCTGAGGTAAGGAGCGTCATCCGCCTTCTCGCCGGTCAAGGCGCCCCTGAGGACATCAAGTGTCCGAGTGCGATGCTTGGGGCCCGGCCTCGGACCGTCATTCTCGTCCTCGTCACTATCGACGTGGTACTTCTTCTGCCCCCGCTGGAAGATGCGCGGCTTGCGAAACATGACCGAGTCGAGCACGTTGCCAATGACGGTGGCCTTCTCCGCCAGCTCGTCCATCGTGTCTCTCTCGGGAGACTCCTCGTTCTGTTGTGCCGGGCGCTGCCGGCGCTCGCTGGGTTTCTGGGGCTCGAAAATCTTAATCGTCGGCTGTCGGTTCCGGGGATTGACACCCTCAGGCGGCGTGTTGGGCCTCGTGTTACCGGGGCTCCTTATGCCAGGCTGGTTCGGGTCCTCCTCCTCCTCGGCCTCGGGGGCGTCGCCCTCCTCGACGCGCTTGGGCTTGATGCCCTTCTCCACATCCCTAGGATTGGGTATCCTCAAGGTCTCGTCGTAGCCGCGACGTTGACGCTCGAGAATGGCAAGGTGCTCAGCGTGTGAGAGGCGGCGCGGGCCGTGGATGGAGTCCAGCTCAATGTCGTCACCGCGGGCAGTCCGCGGCGTGTACGAGCTTCGGGCGGCCGTGTCGCCTGACGAGGGCCGTTCGGAGTGACCATTGGCGCCGCTGCGCCTGCTGTCGTCCGTGTCGGAGGAAGATGGGACTGCCGTGTGGTTGCTACTGGGGGACTCGCGGCCGCCGTTCTCCACCTTCTTGTCCAGAATGATGCCGTCATTGGTGATCCTGCTTCCCGAGTTGGGCATGATCCTAATATTCCGCCCGGCGACACCCATTTCGGCCTGGTTCATGTCGAGATGGGCCTTGGCGCGCGACTTGGAAATGGTGACCCGGCGGGCGCGGGCGTCGCGCACCATGTTCTGGAAGCGCTTCTCGAACCAGTAAAGACGCAAGAAGACGACGGAGGAATGAATGACAATGGGGTTCGACGTCATGGTGAAGATGTAGATACATATTTGCTGAAAGGTGTTGAGCAGGTTGACGTCGACCGTGTTGAGGCCGGCCTGGGTGTTGGCGCCGCTGGCGAAGAAGAGGGCGTCAATGTAGGCGAGCTGGCCGCCGGCCGTCGCATACATCAGAACCGAGGCGAGGATGGTGAGGCTGACGATCCAAAAGTAGTGAGCCGATATAAAGTTGAAGTGCGGCTGCTTGGATATGAAGGACGGCTTGGCGGCGCGGACCTGGCCAAGCAGCCAAGCTCGCGTATTGTCGAGCATCCTGGCGACAAACCGCAGGCGCGGCAGAATGCAGAAGGCAAGGAGGGGTGTGCGGCGGTCGGGCGCGGTTCGTCTGAGAATGTGCCCAATCGGGCAATCCTGCGCAATTGGAGCGAGGAACTAGAGTCGATGTCAAAGTGGCATGGCGATGAGGGCGTAGGGAAACTGTGTCTAGGGCGTGTCAGAGTAGACTTTCGGAGTAGAGAAGAGGTAAAGAAGATGAAGTTGAAAGATGGTGTTGGGGGAAGTTCTGGGGTAGGATCTCCAGGTCTTGGCAGTTGTCGGTGCTGAAAGGTCGACGTCTTTGTCGATGGACTGACGGACTAGGAGGTGGGGGCAGGGACGGGCCTCGCAGGGCAGGAACGGGTCTCGTATGGCAGGCAGTCGTCTGGTGCAATGACTTGGTTCGAGCCGTTTCCTCGTATGCCGTCGGCCTCAATGGCAATGGAGACTTGATCTGATGCTTTTGGTCGTCGCAAGGGAAGTACCGCTGATGGAGCAGCAGGAGCAGCGGAGCAGTTGTTGCAGCAGGAGCAGCCGTAGCAGCCGTAGCAGCAGGAGGGTCAGCGTTGGATTTTAGGGCAGTGGCAGCTGCAGAAGGTGACATTGACATGCCCACCTTCCTCGCTGGCCCGGTCTTTTGTCCTAAAATTGCAGAGAACGTGGCCTGCAGTGGTCTGCTTGGGCCGGCCCTGGCCTGAGCTGGCTGGCCTCTGGCTTGGCTGGCCCTCTGGCCTCAAAGAACGGTGGGGTCCTTGTGTACATGGTATGCACGCGCTTTGTACATGTACCGATAGGCTGGTGTTCCCAAACCTTAATCGCTGCAGATGTGCACTATAGGATCTGTACAGCGCCTCTTTAGCTCTCACCCCTTCCCCTGTGTGCGTGTCACTGCTGAGCTTCAACTCGTCCACACCACATGCCCATGTCACCACGAACTAAAATCTCTTGACCGCTTGCTGGACTCTGCCTCTTCCCCCCTGCCTCAACCATCCCTTCCAGCAGGGTACATCGAGATCCACATCGCACCACGCTCACCAACTTCCCCAAATACCGGTTGCGCCAACTCCATCCCATCTGCACCAACTTCATCCACCCTACCGCATGCATGCGTGTCATTCTGCCACTGGCGAAACCTGCCATTCTGGCGCCTACCCGCAAATACCCGCAATAAATCCAATATTAACTACTATACGTACATGTGCACAGGATGCAGCCAGTGGCCGTCGCCGAGCTCATCGTTCTTCTTGGCTTAAGTGTTCCGCGAATTGGCCATGATGTCATTTGTTACTTTCTCTCTTTTTTTTTCGATGCCTCACCACACATCTCATCTCGCCAACATGCAGATTGGAAAAGGGCGATCTCTCAGCACGTGGATTTGAAACCGCCCCCAAGGAGGGCCTAGGCCCCTCTCAACCCATTTGCCCGTTTGGTTCGGCACCACATTGCGTTCCCAGATTTGCAGGCCCTGTCAGCGGCACAAGCGAAAGTGAGACGTTATGTTGGGACAAGCCACTTCGGGGGCCGAAGGAGCAATCCGGTGTCTGAGCCAAGGGCGCGGGTACGAGAGGTACTGTAGGGCCTCCAACCTCTGTCGCCATTTCAATGCCCTCCTACTTCAGTCCTCTCTGTCTCCCCTCCTAGGCCTCATCAAGCTTCCTTCCATTCTGCTGCCTGCTGCAGATGGAAGCGCCGGATATCGAACACTTTCGGAGGCCTCGTCAGATCGTCAGCGCATGCCATGCTGCTCACCGTGCTTCGCTTACGCGGCGCATATCACCGACCACCGACGTATCCTGCCTGTAGTGCGGATGTTGGCCGAGACGTCCGTTCCCCTTTCCATGCCTTGACTACTGGCCCCCCTGTTCCTGGGATTCTGATGCTCAGCCGCTGTGTCAACGACGCACCTGCTTCACAACAAGAACGACCAATCGGCACAAAACCGCGTCCGATGAATACAAAGGTCTATCGCAGACTGCATACGTGCCTGCCGAAGGTTCGTGGCTGAATGCACAAATCGACGAATCAGTCATCGCAAGGAAGGAACATTGGTCGACTCGTGATATGTCCCGGCAGAGCAGGAGGCAACACATGCTTGAGGGTACACATCGTGTCATCCTGTAGTAGGGCCCGTGTCGATCTCACGTCGAAGTGGCCAGACGGACATCCCTCTTCTTGAATCCCCGAGACTCAGGCCACCAAACGGCATTCTAAGACATCCCGACTTTCCGACGTCCCGTCTTCACCATGCCACTGGGTACCTGCCTCGACCAGCGCCCGCTGTTCGCGGCAACTTACATCGCCTTCGTCCCGAACATCCCCTATCAACGTATCACTGCAGCATCGCACACTGAGACAGAGATAAGGCGAATACAGCAGGAATGCCGTTCGACACGGCACGTGTACATGGTAGACCGGCGGTCCATTCGGTGGTCGTTGAGCCAATGCCTTCTAGCTATACGACTAGGCGGTGTGCGCACCCCCCTGTACAACTGCCGCCTCGGAGATTTCGCATCCAAGGGCCGCGGGAGCTATCTTCCCGTCTGCCAGTCTCAATCTGAGCCGCATACCGCCATCCATCCTAGCTCTCTGGTCCCCTTATCCCACCCAAAAAGGCAACTGCGTAGTTTGTTCCGCTTTATGATACATTCCCAATTCAACCAATTTCCCCTACTCAAAAACGCCAGGCCCAGGCAGGCAGTATCAGCAGATGCGCCGGCTGCCAGTCACTCACTTCTTCGCCGCTTGCCTCTGGATCTTCCGGAAGAAAGCGCTGCTCTCGCCCTTCTTGGTCTTCGTCTTCTTGTTCTGCTCAATGTAGGCCATGTCCTGGCCACCAGAGAGATCCCCAAGCATGCCCGCCGTGCGTCGGGCGCCCTTCTTCTTAGGCTTGCGTCCCATGGTGCCCGAGTGAAACAGGTCGTCGACGAATTCCTCCTCGTTGCCCACGTTCTCGACGAGCACCTTTTCCAGGAGCTCCCGGCGCTCGGCTGCCGTCGAGAAGGCAAGTCTTCCGTCTTCTCAATGTTATGAGCGACGTGATGACCTTGAATGCATAACCCTGGTCAACCAGGAAGGCTTGGCGCTTCGAGGAGAAGAACATTTCGGAGGTATCCTTAGACACGAGCGAGTAGAAAAAGGCGTTGAAGCCTTCGTCGTTCCTGCGCTTCGCTCGCAGGATACGGCCGAGACGTTGCGCCTCCTGACGTCGGGAACCGTAGTGGGACGAGATTTGGATGAGGCATGTGGCCTCGGGCAAGTCAAGCGACGTGTCTCCAATCTTAGACAGGAAGAGCGTGTTGACTTGCGGGTTGTGTTGGAAGTTCTCCAGCACTTGCAGCCGCTCTGCCTGGCCGGTCTCGCCGTAGATGAAGACCTTTTTCAGCTTCATCGCATAGGCTTTGAGGGCATACACGTTGTCGGAGAAGACGATGATCTTGTCGCCCCGCGATTCGTGGTAGTTGATCAGATACTGGCACGCCTGGAACTTGGCCGGGTTCATGATGTAGAGCAGCGATCGCTTTCTAGGTGGTGCCTTCAAGTATTCGTCGTAGAATTCTGTGGGCATGGAGCACCACACCTCGGCACACTGCACACGGGCAATGTGACCTTGTTGTGACAGCTCCATCCAGTTCGCCTCGTACAGCTTGGGGCCGATGAGAAAGTTGAGATCCGAAATCTTGTCATCCTCACGAAGAAGCGTAGCCGTGAGACCGAGTTTGGAGTGCGTCTTGATTGACGATGTCACCTTTCGGAAAATATTGGCCGGTACGACGTGGACCTCGTCGAGCAGCATGAGGCCCCACTCGCGATGCTGGAGGAAGTCCATCATCTTTTTCGCCTCATGCGACCTCTCCCTGGTCTGCGTTACCATCGAGTAGGTCGTCACGATGATGCCCGTAGAGCCCGTAAAGGTCTGTCCCTTGTTGTCTGACGTGAAGGCCGCAATGTCCTCCGGCTTGATGTTGGACCATTTCAGGAACTCGTTTCGCCATTGGACAACCGACATGGAGCTCGTGCAGAGCACGATGACACCCTTCTTCACTGTGCACGCCGCCGTGATACCGACGAGCGTTTTGCCAGCGCCACATGGCAAGACGATGATTCCACTCTTGGCACGACCGTTACCAAACATCTTACTCAGACTCTTCTCTTGGTACGGACGAATCTGCGCGCCAGGCCGCAGGTCGATCTCCAGGTTCGCGTTAAATTCGTCTTTCCTGAAGTCGTACTCCTCAAGCACGGGATATTGCAGATCAAGGCACCTCTTCTGGACATCCTCAACAGCAGAATCCGGAATCTCGAAAGAATGCGTGAATTCGGCCTCCTCGTCATCATCGTCGTTCAACGCAGCATACACCTCGTCCTCCTTGGCCTTATCGGCGTCGGCGCCTTGTGCATTGTTCGCTTGTCCTGCCTGACGCACGCCGGCGGCGTTGGTAGTGCCAGGGATGACGAGGGGCGCCTGCTTCGGAGCAGCGGTGGTCGTGATCGCGCCACTGCCTGTGTGGGTTCGGAGAGGTCCGATGATGGGGTCCTGCAGCAGCTTCTGCAAGACGACAGGGTCTGCGCTTTCAACGAAGTACTTGGTATTCTTCAAGACGAGCTTGACCTTGCCGAAACTGGCTGTGCATCCTTCGATGAATTCTCGAATTTGTTTAGGCAGCGGCGTCTTGAGGAACCGCTCGAGGGTATTGATGATATCGGCGGGCGATAGACCGACGGAAACGGCAGCATATAGACTGTGAGGCGAAAGGGCGTACTCGTGAACGAAGGAAGGTCGGGAGATGGGCTCGGCAATGGTGATGAGGAAGTCCTGGCACTGCTGGGCAAGGGGGCTGAAGCTCTCGAGGAAGATCCTCGCTTTGCTCGCATCGATCCACAGCGGTCTGTTCTGAAAGTCCGGCTTCAGATTGAGGTACGAGTAATCGCGCTTGCCAAAGATGTGCGAGGTCGCAGACTTTGAGGGGCGCTCGTATCCTTCTACGGAGAAATGGCCCACGTTCTTCTCAATGTTCACGTCCTCCTCTCCCTCGCTCAACGCCTCCGCCGCGGAAGACTCATTGTCGCTACCAATGCTCCTCGGGGTGGCAGCTCCAGCTGGCGTCGAGACTCGTGATCCTTTACCAACCTTGCCACCGCCTGTGACGGCACCGATAGCCTTGCGTTTCGGAGGCATGGTTGGCTGTTGCCAGCCGTGGATGCGGTTGGAGATATGCGTCGCAGAAGCAAAGAACCTGTATCGCGCGGAGACTTGGTTTGGAAGCGACTGGGGATGGTTACGGCAAATGCTGGTGCGAAGACCAGTTCAAGCCCCGTGTTGGAGGAGGCAAAAGTTTATAGTCTTTCTTGAAAGACATCGGAGCTGGGAAGTATATGACGGCAGGCAGCAGCAGTCTGCTTATTCATCGGGGCGCGATAACCTTGATAAGCACGGCGAGAGGCACAGTGTGGGCCCAGTAGTCCGACTGGGATCCCCGCCAAATTATCAACGCTTTCCACCAGGTAGTCCGGCGTCTAGCGGTTCGGTGAACATTCAGGAGGCGTCCACTTGAGTCTACCTTGATTTCACAGGACCAAGAACAAATTCAACAGCAGCCTGGCCGGTTTTCAACCGCTCTACTGGTTCACGGAAGCTGCTGCATTTCATCCCACGTCTATCATGTGGTAAGTTCACCCTACCCGCCTGAGTCGAACCTAGTTCTAAGCCATCTCCAGCAAACACATCCTCAACGCCCAGGTAGCGATCCGGTCGCCATGCTGTACGGACCCCTCCGCCCTCCCACCTCCCTTTTAGTAGCACGATCTGACCGCTCTTTAGGCAAAAAATGGTTCGACTGCGCCGAATGCCACCACGAAACGGAGAAACACCCGCTCCTCCAGAGCACCGAGATGACCTTCGCCTGCAAGAAGTGCCGGAAGTGCTTCCGCAAGGACGCGGCCGAGTTTGAGGATGCCGACGAGTACTGCCCCCACTGCGACAACCACTTTGTCATCGAGGCCAAGACGCCCAAGGCCGCCATCTCCGTCGAGGGCGAAGACGCGCGCAAGGATCACAGGATGCTGCGGGACGAGCGTGTGCAGCAGACCAGGATGCGGACCATTTTCGATCCTGACCCAGACACGGACAAGCTGGGCTGATGATGTGCTGTTGGCGGACTAGATGGTCGAAAGAGAGATATAAGAAGGGAGAGGGGCGGCGCGCTGATGCTTGCACGTACATACGAATACCCACGACTTTGACCCACGACGTTGCCTTTCTACGGGTGGTAATACACTGGTATTTAATTCGTGATACCGTCTGACGCGCCCTCTAGCCGCACTGGGATCATGTCATCCATTGCGTGTCTCGCGTAGTCTACTCGTCACTTCCCTCCGCAGGCCGCGTCAGAATAGCGGCGGTGCCCTGACCCGGCGTACGGCCCGTCTTCTTCTTGGCCGCCTCCTCTTGCTTCTCCTCCTCAATGTTCTTGACATAGCTCTCGATCTCCTCCACGGGCAGCATCTCGATC